GGCAGGAGAGCTTTGAGAACACTGAAGGCTGCATGCCCAAGATATAAGACCAAAAAATAAATAAGTAAGTAAAGCATGGTGGACACTATTATTACAAAAAATCAAGGCAGTCAAGGAGATATTAGTAAACTTTTAACCAGTATGCCAACTTTCTCATCCCTGTGTCTTTATGAGAATCATCTATCCATATATTGAGGGTATCCCTGATGAAAATACAAGGAGGGAGCAGGACACCTTTAATAAGGGATTCTCTCCAGAAGAGCACACCTTCCCAGTTCACACCGTGGACTAAAAGATGTCAAGAGTGCAAGGTTCCTCTCTACTTATTGTTTGTTAATTGTCTAAAAAATAAATCAGGAAAGCAAGATGCGTCTTTAAAGCCTTCCTCCTAACAAGTGTCTCCCGTGTACATATGCAATAATTATAGCAGTGTGCATTTCCATAGCATTTTAAGTTTGTAAAGCAAATCACGTGTTTTCCTATGATCCTTACCAAAATCCTGTGAGCAAGGCATTAATATTATCGACTTACCCAGGGTTATAGGGCTAGCTATTAAGTGGCTGAGGCCAGATTTGAACTCAGGTCTTTCTGACATCAAGTCTTGCACTCTATCTACTGTACCACCCAGCTGATCTAACTTCAAATCAGGCAGCAAACAAGGAGGTGATGTCTGCTACAGTGTTAACTACAGACATGGAGGCTGCCCTGGGCAGAGGCCCAACCGCAGAGGCATTTCCTACCCATAGGGAGGTCCTCCAGCTATTCCTCTTTGAGGCTTATGTATTGTCGGCACCAAGCCCCAGAATGCCTCAACTCTTCCTCTAGGAGATCCACAGCCACTTAAAAGAAATTGGCCTAACAATCCACAAAGGGAGAACCAAGTGGATGAAGAATGTTTATTACACAGAGAATCCCAAGTAAGTGGATGACAAGTCCATTGAGCTGATCCAGCAGTACATATTTGGAGACAGACATTGAAGGATGATGGACAAGCCATGAAACTGGATAGGAAGAAATGGCAGGGAGAAAGATGCCTGGATTGCATTTAGGAAGTGGTTTAGAACTTCCAGTCATCCATAACTATGAGTGCACACGCAAGTGTGTGTGCGCCCATGCATGTGTGTGTGTGTGCACACACACTCACACACACACACACACTCATCTTTTCAATGCTGATATTCATTACTACTCATAAACTATAAGATTCTCCTAAAGGTCAACATTGTACATGACCCAGTTGACCACAGAGAAGTGCATGATAGACACGAATAAGCTTCAAAAGATCCCTCATGACACCCGTGTACAAGATGTGGTATAAAGGGTATCTTCCAGGACATTCACTTGAGGTATACTGTATTTGCGGTCTTGCCCAACTAGAGCATGAGCTCCTGGAGAGTAGAGACTGACCTCTTGTTGTTGTTGTTGTTGTTAAGTTGTGAATCCCAGTGTTTGGCCCGTAGTAAGCTTATAGTAAATGTTTTTCTACTCTGTGATTAAGAATCTCAGAAGATGCTACCCCATTGGCATTTCATCTGGAACGACCTACCTTGCTGTATCCCCTAAGCCCAGATAATTTCATAGGATGCTTCATTCATTAAATAAGGGGGATGGCTTTGACATCTATTTGTTCTTAATTGGTATAAATCATAAGGGTGCTGGCTACCTGCCCATGAACCTTTCACAAAGGAAATGGTTTGGACATCTCTAAACTGGGAAACCCATCATCACATCTTCTGAAAACTGAGTCATGCCCACAGCCTGACATTAGAATTAGAATCATTCCATAGGCGTGCCTAGGTTGCTCAAAGAGATCTTTCTTTTAAACAACTAAACTTAGTACAGTATATGATAAATATATGCATAAATATATATATATATATATATATATAATAAATTTCAAGTAGGATTGATGAGCTACCACTGATTTCAAGGAACTAATTGAATATATAATTATGGGCTCACAGTGTTACCATTATTGAGTGATTTTTAATATCTAATTGTTCCATAATGAAGATTGATGAAAGAGTAGATTGTGGGAATCATGATTGATTTCCTGTTACCTGGTGCTGCCATTCTTGCTAATGGCAAACATCAGATAGACATTTGGAGGTGCCAAGGTAGGATTTTAAAAGCCCAGTGGCATCATGGCATTGCAAAAAATGTTGACAGGGTCACTTCGGGAACATAACTAGGAGGTTCCCTTTGACAGAGATTTGGCTTAAGGTATATGCTGTTATTCCCCTCACCTATGTCCTAACCTAGACTAACATGTAACCATTTGCTCATTTGATTTGTAGGACCCTTGATTCCCTATATAAGGAACTGGTAGAAGAAGGATTATTGATAAGACCCTTGAAAGTCCAGCTCTCAGAATACATTGGTAAAGTATATTGAAGTAATCTCAGAACAGGGTAGGAGAATAAGAGCTTCCCATGATATCCAGGGCCTCATTTTCTCCAACAGCAAGAAGCCTATTAGATCACCGTGTCCAACCCCATGTTTGTGAACCATCTTATGTGTACCAGGTGAAGGGGACATCTGGGGAGGAAAAAGAAAGAATTACACATTTCTCTGGACACAGACATAGCATCACTGAGTGGCAACACTATATGTGAATGCTCCAACACAAAACTCCTTAAAGGGAAGTGAGGTGCCCCAGAAGATTGATGTGAGATTGATGGGTGGGCCTCCCCTCACTACATGTCTCCAAGCAGAGGCCAGATGACCAAGGTGTTCTTGGTCAGGTGGGTGTTGGACAAGCGAGCCATAGACAGCCCTCTCAACCCTGGCATCCTGTGATTTTATGGAGGGGGGCAAACAGAGGAACTAGCAGGAGTTGGGGCTGAGAAATGTCTTTACATTTCCCCTCTGTTTTTAAACTATCATTGGTTCCTCCTTGAATGCTCCTTCCAAAAAGGGTGCATCACAACTACCTGGCTGCACGAAGCTTCCTTGGCTCCATCCGGCCAAAAAGATAAAACTGAGGGTATACAGGACCCTCACTCCCTCACACCAATAGGAAGGATGCTTCATTATTATCCTTATGGGTTCAAAGAGGGAAAATAGAACTTCGTGTTTGAGCTCAAATAATTGGATACAGGTTTAGGGGCAGGAGCAAGGTGGACACATTTCAAGAACTTATCCAAATTGAAAACAATATACCAACTTTATCTTATGACTCAAAAAAAATTTTTTAAAGAGTAATTTTTTAATAAACCATTACATTTGGTTTTAGCCATAATTCAAAACCTAATTAATATTTACTAATTAGCAATGAATATCATTCAGTAATTACCACAGTAGGATGAAAATGTGATTTTCTGTAGGATGGGTTTTTGTTTTATTCTTTGTAATATTTATATTTGGTCAAAAAGGCTGAAACTCTCATTTTCCAAAAATGTTGCATTTTTCTAGATTTCCTGCTTAGTTTGTTTAATATAAAGAACAAATATCTATAAGAAATATCTGCAAGAAAATCCTGAAGAAACTACTAGTTTCTTTGTAGAATAGTATTAAATTATTTTAAAATTATATTAAAGAGGCAGTATTTTGAAGGAGGGGAAAAGCAAATTAAGGTGAATTTTTCCTCTCAGGCTTTAAAAAAGATTATAAAATAGTCATCATCTGAACCAAAGGTTCCCAAACTTATTTGGGCTACTGCCCCTTTAAAAAAAATTACTCACACTCCTCCACCCTCCCCAGAAATCTCCTTTCTTTAACCCTTTAACAGTATTTTTTAAAACTTTCATCATTTCAAAAAATATGAAATATTTTTAAATGATGCATCTTAAATTTAACAATTTATTGTAAATGTGTGTGTTTTTTTCCCTGCACTGAAATGTTGTTGACTCAATATTGCATCATGTAACTACATAGTATTGTATTGTAAACAAGTCATCACATGCACATATTCCTGCCAATGCATGCTGGACTTCCTGACAATGAGTGACACACTCACCTGCCAACACTTGCTTGTTAAGACCTGTTGGTGGACTTGACCACTGATTGGTTATAACTTGCATTTTGCGTGTTTATTTGGAAAATAATGTAATCACTACAACTTTAATTCTGTTACACAACAGATGAAACATGTACAAATGGTTTCTAAAATTTTCCTCTCTTCTTTCTTTATGTTTCCACCACCCCTTTATTTTTATTCAACATCCCCCAATTGCACCCGAGGCTACCACCAGCCCTCTACATGTTCCAGCACCCCCCAGAGGGTGGTAATACCCACTTTCAGAACCTATAAAAACTAAATGGTACTGGACCCCAGAAAAAGGTGGAGAGGAAAGGGAAAATAAACCAGTGAGGCTTATCAAGTAAGCAGAAATAAAAGCAATAAAATTCAATAGTTGTAGGGTTTTGAAGACAAACAAGTACATTCATACATTGCTGGTAGAATTGCAAATTAGTAGAATATTTCTAAAGATACATCCATCAGCACCTAACAAGAATAAAAAACCTTCATATCTATTGTGTCCATAACTCTATAATAATTCTTTAGGGAAAATCAGACTACAAAGTATGAGAAACTTTCAAGGATTAAATTTTGAAGACTCAAAGAGAAATTATTCTTATAAGGGTGAAAGGGGAGGGGTGTTGTCTAGAGAGAATGACATAGATGCACAGGAAATTCATCAACTAGTATCAGTGTTCTGAAAGATACCTACAAGCACAGCTAGGTGGTGCAGTGAATAGAGCACCGGCCCTGAAGTCAGGAGGACCTGAGTTCAAATCCAGCCTCAGACCAAACACTTGATACTTACTAGCTGTGTGACTCTGGGCAAGTGACTTCACCCCAATTGCCTAAAAAAAAAAGATACCTACAGAAGATGAAAACAAATGCAGAAGAAAAAAAAAAGAATGCTGTTGTAGAGCACAATCTTGTAAAAACAATGCCCAGAGTTCATAGCTGGGAATCAGCTGAATTTGTCTAGGAAAGCCAAGAATAACAAAACAGAGGACAGGGAGGAGGAGGAAAAAGAGGGACAGGATACCTGCTTGGGGCAGATGGGACAGGCATGATGGATGATGCTGAGAGGACAGACTTCTTGCTCTTGTTTCTCCTGTAAAAGAAGATTGGACTTGAAAGAATGAAGCAAAAATGGCTACTAGAGAAGTGAAAACCAAGATAAGGAGGGAAAGGGAGAGCACCTAGCTGTCTTCAGTCCCTTCAGGTCATCTGGCCCAGATGAATCACATCTTCGGGCTTTGAAAGCAATGACTGACGTGATTATTGAGAGACAGCCAATGGTCAATAAGAGGACCTAGAGAAAGAGTGAGGTCTTATAAGGTTGGAGAAGGACATGTCAGGGAAGAGAGGGGGATGTAATGAAGTCAGCTAGACCAGTGAGCATGGTTTTGAATCTTGGCTAAATTCTATGATCTGTTATTTTTATGATTATTTATTTTTATTTACAAACATGTCCTATAATGTTATATAATACAAATATATTATCAATACTAATTTGTAATATATTTGTAAATGGTATGTAAGTATTATATGTTATAAATGAACATGTTATAAAATATACGATATAAATATATAAACGTAAAATATTATTTTTTGTTAATAGTTTTTGTTTTTATATCACCTTCATTTCCAAATATATCTCTCCTCCTTCCCTCTCCTATCTAGCAAGCCTAATAGAATGTGCATTGTTCCCCTCTCATTCTTCCAAGAAGTCTCCCATTTTTCCCAAGGGAGGGAAGCACATTTGCTTTAGCTTCTACCATTAGAAATCTGGTTAGCAAACATCTAGAAAAGGGAGTGATGATCAGGAAGAGCCAGCCTTGCTTCATCCACAGCAAACTAACCTCATTTCCAATTCTTAAGGAGCACCAATCCTGGTGTCTCCAAAGAACACTATTGGTATAATTCACCTGGATTTTATCCCAGGGTTGGACAATTTCACAATTTGATCAAAGTCACCATTATTCTTGTAGAGAATAAGGAGAGGTGAGCTGAGATAAGTGTACAGCCATATGGACTCTGTAGTCAGACACAAGATAGTCATTAATAACCCACATACACACATACATTATGTGTGTGTGTTTATGTGTATATATATATATATGTATATGTGTGTATGTGTATATATATATATATACATATATATATATATACACATATATACACATACATACATATAATTGGGGAGACAGAGAACATGAGGTGCCACGGGCTGGAGATCAGGAAGGGTATCATGGAGAAGATGGCGCTTGAGCTCAGTCTTAAAGAAGACTAAAGGATTCCAAGGAGCAGAAATAAGGAAAAAACATTTGAGGCATGGGAAGCAGCTACCATAAAGGCACAAGGACAGGGAATGCCCCAGGGCATGGGGAGAGGTGTGAGAAGCAGTGGAAAGGTCAGTTCAATTGAACCTAGAAGGTGTGGGGGGGGGGTAAGACATGACCAACACACACTGTGTCTACATCAGAAGAAACATACCCACATAGAGAGATGATATAACCATCAAAGGGCAGGATAGGATTTTGTGGGCATAGCTAACAATATTATAGACATATAGACATATATAATATATAATGATATTGTAAATACTTTGTAAATACATGTATTTTTATACACACATATTACTTATATATACATACACATATTTTGGCTTATTGTTCAAAGTTAAATATATACATACATATATAAATGTTGTATTTTTGAATTTTCTATCATTCCAGCCTTTTTGAATGCCAAAATCTATGATTTCACCCAATCTCTTCATCATCCCTTTGAGACAATCACCACTTCTAATCAGGTCACTTAAAATCATGCAGACATTCTTTCAGCCACTCAAAGTGTAGATGCCGAAGCTCGCCTTTACAATATGATTTTAGGCTCAAACATACTCCCTGTTATCGTAACTAAGCCACAGGATCTCCTTTGCCACAGAGTAGCAGCCCAGACCTCTCCCATTTCACCCTTCAGCATTTCCAGAAAATTATCTACGCTCAAAATTAATGTCCCTAAAATGCCATATCATAATGCTACAGAGATGTCATTGTGAGCACATCTGCATCAGATGCTGCATGTGGGGACTGCAGCCCACGTGTGAGTGGAGTTGATGGGAAATTGCCAACAGACCTTCTGACCCCATATATTGGCCCCTCCTCCACAGGTACTGGACCTCTTGGTCTGCAGTTATCGCCCCAGGATGCAGAGCCAGGCACTGTTTGCATCTCTGCCTCCAAGGAAATTTCCCACCCTTCTTCTCTGAGCAAGAGATTTAGAAAGTGCTTCTACTTCTGCCCTGTCTCCTTTCTTCATTTTCTTGGCGTTCTTCTACAGAGGAGAATGAAAGAACAAAAGGATGTTTTTACCAACTTTTCTGAAGAGAAGATGTCCTCTTTGGCCTTGGGCTCCTTTTCTGAATTTCTGTCAGCTCTGTCATTCATTGTACTGTTTTGTACCCCTTGTCTTTCCTTGATGGTCTCTTCCCTTAACTGTTCTCCTTTTCTTCTTCCCTCTCTGGCAAGAGTGTCTGGTCTAGAAGCAAGGAGTGCTCTCTGCCCCCTGAAGCCGGATGGTGAAGGGCTCAGTGGTCCAAGCACAGTGTGATGAATTGCAGGAATACACTTTCAGCAAGCTTGCCCTGGCTTGGCATACTGCCTAGGACTGCTAGCGTCCCTTCTCTCCAGCCAAACAAACAGGAAAACAGTACACCCCCCAATTTAACTGGCTACCATTTAAATAAAATCAGTTAATTTCTGCAAAATATGGTGCATCTGGGCATTAATATGGATATATTGAAGCAGCAAATTGGGGTCACTTTCATATGACCCTTAATGTCATGTTTACTGGCAATAAATGCTAGTTATAATGGTGGCTCCAGCGTCCCTTCCTCCTCGGGTGAAGGCAGAATTAACCAGGCTTCTATTCATTACATCCTCATTAAAGAGCTGGGCTAGCCAGAGCAATAATGAAAGCTTGTCATGATTACTGCACTGTCCCCACCATCACCATCTATCCAGCTCTCAAGGACGTCTCTGTCACACAGACACAGCAGAAGGGTGGCTGCTACAACAATACAGGAATCACCAGCCGATTTGTTTAAACAGCGAAAGAAACCCTTCCTTCCTTTCCCTTCAGATTTCTAAACCTTCAAAGTTTTCTTACACTCATAGTATTGTGTGTGTATATATATATAAATCTTCCAAGTCTCTAACACACAAGGCTCACCCAAATCCAAGCTTGCTATTAAGAGAATGGGCAATTAAAAAGAAATCAGAATATGGAGAACTCATTCACTATCTTTTTTATTATAGGTTCATGTCCCACTCAGAAAGGAATCATGTGAACATGCAAAGGTTTTGAGACATCCATCCTTGTGACAAATGAAGACGGCCAAACTAATTTTCTTGGTGACCTTATCTAAATTAGTCAGAAAATATCAGTTAGGATTTATGACTAGTTACAATTAAGCCCTTTGATATCTTCTAATTAAACTGGTAAAGATTTATTCCTATATTATGCCTTTGATATTCCTTTAAAAATTATAACATGAAAAGGACTGTTGCCCTCAGAATGGGACATTGCTATTTCTTCTACATTCTGGTCAGACTCTACCCCTTTTCATCCACCCCAAGGTCCCATCTCCATTAAATCACTCACTTATTTTTTAAAAGTCTACAAATGTTAACCGTCAGCTAGAGAAAATGCTGTTTATTCTGAACCAAGAATGCTAATGTTTCACCATCTGGGTCATTTTTTTCTTGTTTATGGTTAATTCCTTAGAACTTTGCCCCTTTTCCAACGCCCCAACGCTGATTGGTGCCAGCCTGGAATTTAGAAGCATGTAAGGAGCAAATCTGCTCTAAGTGTGTGACAGCTGATATGACTGGCCTGGCCTGCTTGCACCAAAGCAGCTCCTTTTTGGAATAGTCACGTTTCTTTCTTTTTTACAAGATCTTTCAAGGAAAGCGTCATGTCTTCTAAGAGTCCTGACACATGACAGTACTAGGTCTTCTCTGAGTGTGTTGTATTCTATGGGAGTAGATCTGTTAGCAGAATGCATTTTTGAACAAAATCTTTTCCCATTTCTTAGGCCTCTTTTCTTCCCACAGGCGAATTTTGTTACCTGGGAACTACCCTCCGCCATATAGCGATAGAACCGATGCCATCGCTCTCTGACGTGAGACAGCTCATCACCTTATACGGGATTCTCCCATTAGGTAATAAAGAAAGGAAACTGACTTGTGGACCAAGTCCACTGATTTTCCTCCTATGTGTAACTATGTACGTCTACACATGCAGGCCTGTGCATATGCACATACTATTTCTCCCTTTGACAGTGCTTGACTGATTACTGTCAAAAGCCCTTTGCAGATTTCTGTTTTCCAATTAAGCGTTGGGAGGGAAGGCAGGGTTTCATTTGAGCAGTGCATAAAAGGCCCACAAAAGCCATTGACAAATATTCCATTTCTAGGCCATTCCTGTTTGCATGGTAACCATTTTGAGCTATGAGACGTAAAGGAAATCACTTGGGGAAGGTATTAACCCAAACAAGCATCAGGGATGAAAGTGAATGAAATTGGGGAGGGGGTGACAGCAACGACATGCCAGCTGAGATGCCGGCTGCAAGAAGGCTGCGGGCATTGGGGGCTAAAGAATGTGAGCACTGAGGAATTAGGCAAAGTCCATTGGAGAGTGCTGAAGTGATGTCCTGGAACTACTTTGCAAGCTTCAAATGCCCTCCTCTACACTGATTAAATGTCATTTTCTAAGCAGATTACTCTAGGATTTTCCTACTCAGGGCCTGAGGACAGGTTACAAATTGGCCTTGGAAGGGATCAGCATTTTCCATGGCAGGGTCTTGTGCATCTCTAAATAACCTTTATGTAATGATGGTTTTAAATGAGGGTGGTGGGACCTCTGTCTCATGTGGCAAAGATGGCACTGGGGCCCAGGTGCCAGCCTTGACCAGCCCTGTCCTCTGGCAACATGAATTTGGATGGCAGGTGTGTCCTTGATGAGAGGCAGTGTGGGACAGTGGAAAGAGCATTCATTCTGGAGTAAGAGGCCCTAGGTTCAAATCCTATCTCTGTCACTAACTGTATAGTCACTTTGGGTAAATTGCTTTACCACCAGGGGCCTCCATTTAATGATCATCTTTTAAATGAGGGTGTTGGCTCTAAAGGTGCCTTGCAGCTCCGTATCTATGAGCCTATGGCCTTTCATAGAGAATTCCTTTAATTTCCCTTCCAAGTAAGATGGCAGCCATGGGGGTGGTGTGGCATTTCTCCCTTGATTTGATCCTGGGAACCCTTTCCACAAAACGTCATTGACTTGATAAGGAATGGGGAATCCAGCTTTTGACTTGGTGTCCTCTGAAGCAAATGAAACTTTGGGTTAAAATAATTGTAAGTAAAAATAGTAACAATGCCTTCTCCCAGAGTCCCCATTACAATACACTAAATGACAGGAAGTATAGGAGCACTCTGGGCTAAACCACAAGTATATGTTAACCAGGAGAGGAAGGCAGTTTTCATGTTCTCAGCTCATGAAGGCAAGTTAGTGCCTGCATTTTAACTAGTTCTCATTTTATAGGTTTCTAATGCACAAATAGTTTATGCAATTAAAATGTGTATATAAGCAAACTTTGGGGTATCCAGATTAAGTTTCCTTGGCTGAAGATTTAATTCTATTATAAAAACGAGTAGGTTTATTGGCCACAGTTTAAAAGCACAGATCACACACATCCATGCATCTTATCACCATTGTCAGGAATGACAAAATAACCCTTGCTTGAAGTAACAAAGGGCATTGGATGTCAGGGAGCTGATAGACACTCAGCAATACATACCTCATCAGAGCTGCCCATGGAAGTGGTCCCAGGGGCCACAGAAATGGACTCTCGAGGTCCCTAGTCTCTTTCAATAGATAAAAAATCTCCCCAGTCCATCTTTGGAGCCGACCTATCCTCCTGGGACCCCAGGAACAAACTCTCATCAGGCAAAAAGAAGGTTGGTTATAAAACCCTTCATGTATAACTACTGGTGCTATTCGATGGTCTGTGGCTTTAAGAAATCTGCAGGATTTCTAAGCAAGCTGAAGTAAAAGGGGCCAAGAGCTTTTATGGATGGAAGTTGATCAAGCACCAGGACAAAATTGCCCAAGCAGTGCATTAAAAACAGTGCTTCCATCCTGCAGTAGGGTGGGAGCTGTGATCCCATCAATTAGTAATCCCTCCAGTGAGGAAGATTGCAACTCATCCATCCAGCCCGTCTCATCCTGTGCCACTTTTGCCCATACCTTTCCATAAATCCTCCCTTTTTAGGTGGGGTGGGAAGGAAGGGAGAAGTCAACCCAAGATGTTTGGCATCTTTCTAGGTCTCTTGACATTACATGGGCACCTGTGCACAATAGGGGCTGCCCATCTCTTTTTCCTCACTCTCACTATATGAATAGCCCATCTTCTACTAGCTACATTTCTTTGATAATGTCTTCGATGTCACATTATGTGTGTGTGTTGTGTGTGTGTGTGTGTGTGAGAGAGAGAGAGAGAGAGAGAGAGAGAGAGAGAGAGAGAGAGAGAGAGAGTGGGAGGAAGGGAGGGAGGGAGAGAGAGAGGAGGAAAGGAGAAGGGAGGAGAGAGATTCATCACTGGTTACTTGCTGTGTCCTCCATCATCCTTGAAATGGCCCACGATTTAAATTCCACTGAGATAGTGGTAATCCATGAAATGTAGAGAGGGAAAAGTTTATAAAAATAAATGTGGGCTATTTTGAGAATACCCAATTAATAACTGAGGTTTACCAGCTTTCTATTTATATTATATATTATTAAGAATAAGGAAGAGTGATTATTTGTACAAAAAACTCCCAGGTGAGGAAATTCCCTCTACCCACACAGATCAATTCCTCTCTTGTAGCTTGAATCTTAGAGAGTGTTACCTAGAGCACCTAAAGACCAAATGACTTATGGGGCAGGTAGGTGGCACAGTGGATACAGCACAGGCCCTGAAATCAGGAGGACATGAGTTCAAATCTGGCCTCAGACCAAACACTTCACACTTACTAGCTGTGTGACCCTGGGCAAGTCATTTAACCCCAACTGCCTTTAAAAAAAAAAAGACCAAATGACTTATCCAGGGTTACACATCCATTATATGTAAGAGGTGTAATTCAGGTGTACCTGGCTTCAAAGCTATTTCTCCATACACTCTGCCATGAATTAAAAAAAAAGTTACATTCAAACCCTGTGCTAGGTGCTCAGAGAATACAAAGAAGGTCCTGCCCTCAGTGAGCTTTCAGTCAGTGAATTAGGCCAGGCATAGAAATAACTATTATGCAAATTAGAACATGAGAGGACCAGAAGGGGCCAAGGGCCATAAGAGAAAGGAGCCATATTGAAGACAGTTCCTGAAACTGACCTCCAAGTCCCTTCAGATCAGAGGTTTCATAATAGCAAGGCAGTAGAAAAGTAGGTAAAACTATGATTGATGATTTTTAAAGCTGCCACCTTGGGCAAGTCATGCAACATGAACTTCAGTTTCCTTCTCCTAGAAATTTGCCTTAGTCAGCCCCTAGAATTCCTTTTAGGTCTAGACCTGTGATTCCTTGAGCCTGTTACTCTAATGATTCCAGGTATACACCTAATAAAGACAGAGAAGTGACCAAGAGCCATCAGTGATTCTGAATCAGGACCAGAAATTACATGGAACTATAGGAAACCATGGGATTGCTTTTGTGCCCATATTCAGGGATGTCCACCTTGCTCGTCCATACACAAATATCCCACCAAGACACTTGGAACAAGATTAGACCTTTCCCATGCCAGCATGGCACTCAAAGGTTGGCAGACCACTGTCCTTTTTAAAAAGTATTTAGTATTTTATTTTCCCCAATTACAAGTAAAACAATTTTAACATTTTTTTTAATTTTGAGTTCCAAATTCTCTCTATCCCTCCATTCCCTACCCCTCCCATTGAGAAATCAAGCAATTTGATATAGGTTCTACATGGAGCATTATCCATGAAACAGAACGGTTCCCTTCATTTTACAGATGAGGAAACTGAGACTCACAAAGGTGAAACCTAGGTAACATTCAAGGCAGGATTCAAACCCAGGTCTCATGACTTAAGCCCAGCCCTCTGTTAGGCAATGCTGCCTCCCGATCTCATGTTAGTTAGTATCTGTATCCTATGGGTGCTCACCACCCCAGGTACCATAATCCATCTTTAGCAATATACTTTTATTTTCCTTCATGTCATATTTATTTGGGTTGAAAGTTGGGAAACAGCAGAGAC